TAGAGAGAGAGAGAGAGAGAGAGACAGAGAGACACAGAGTCAGAGGGGGCGAGAAAGAGAGAGAGAGAGAGAGAGAGAGGGAGGGAGGGAGGGAGGGAGGGAGGGAGGGAGGGAGGGAGGGAGGTGCGTAAAAGGTGCGATATAGAGAGAGGGAGGAGAGAGCGAGAGAGGGGTAGAATGATGCACGGGGCCGGGACAGAATGATCGAACTGGTGTGAATCAGCTTGCTGATATAAGATACTTGATTTCACGGATGGCCCAAACCAACTTGTTTTGTTTGGTTTGGTCAAACACGGCGGCAGAGCAATTTCTAACACCGTCCTTTTCCGCTTCCATCCTGTGTCCCGTGTCCATCCTAGGCACCAAAAACAGCTTGCAGGCCACCCTGTGGGAGGAAGGCTCCGATGACAAGAAGGTGCTCGGTGTTCGCATGGCCGGTGACCCAGAAGCCTCATTCCGGCCTTCGTGTCCGCATGGCTTTGCTTGCCTCGTTGCATCTTGGGCTTTGTATCGGAGCCTCAGGTCATCACCCTCTTCAGCATCAATGAGACTCGGACTTTCAGAGCGTACTTGAAGTTTGTCAATGGAACATGGCTGGCAGAAGGGCCCGATGGGCTCGACTGGAACATGGCTGAAGCTCTTTGAAACGATGCCCATCGGGAGCCTCAGCCTTTTTGCAAAGCTCTTTTCATTCTCGCTGTGCATGAGGAGCTGATTGAGTCGAATTTCGTGGCCGCTCGAAACACCGTGCTCCTGGGTTTGATGGAGGACATTTTTGTCCGGGCTTTTGTGCTGTGAAAGCAACCCACTGTGCAACTGACTGTGAAAGGCAAAATGTGCGGCAGCGGTTTAAGCGATGTTTTGCCCTCACACATTGATCCAAGATGTCAGAAAAGGGCTCCTCCGTGGAAGGTCTTTTTCCAATAGTTCGAAGGGGTTCAGACATCAATTGGGGCATGCTGTGACTTGAAAGCCTAATCTACTCCAATCTAATCTCTAGAAAGCTGCGTTCTCTGGGGGCTGGCTCCAAGCGAAGGAGCTGCCGGACAAGATCCAGGCCAGCAAGGACAGAGCATACGATGCACCAGTGTCGGCGCAGCAGTTGCCAAGGAACACATTTTAGAGTGATGTTGCATCGCCATGACGAAACCACCAGAGCTTGTTGTGCTCGAGCATGTGATTCATGAGCCATGCGATGCAGGAGCTTTGCAGTTTTACGCCTTGTGGCTGGTCCCCCATGGACCCTCGGGCCGCCCCTCTGCCTCATGACAGCGTGACCTGCGGGCCGCTGCCGTCGTGAGGCGCGGATGTGCCGTGTTTGCTTTCCAAGCCTGGCGCGGCTGGGTCAAGCAATAGGCGTCGGTGTTGTTCCTCGTTCTTTTGAAGAAGGTCAATGCAATTCGCTTCACGCAGGAACACATGAGCCTCACATCGAAGCATGGGAGAGTCGTAGGTGATTCAAATTCTCATCGTGGGGCCAGTCATAGAGCCGTGTCTTTGTTGTGTGTGTGTGATACTTACAGTAGATCACTTCTTTTGAGCTCGGATAAAAACAAATGCTTGGGTGCTTTCTTCAGCATGAACGTGCTGCACCAACCCTGTCAGGCGTTCGTGGAGAGTGACCTTAGCACCTGTGCACTTTTGCCTAGATCCCAACTGGAGCACAGGTTCTGTGGCCGGCTGACCCCTGCAACAGCTGCACTGGGCAGACGAATGGCTGTGGGTCAAAACCAATGGTACCATTTGGCAATATATGCACCACCCATTTTAGAACCTATTTTAGTGGGGATTGGGATGTTCACTGGGGGCTAACCGGATTTTGACCCACAGCCAAATGTTGCTTGGCCAAGACCAAAAGGGTGTTGGTGCGCATCGGATGGGCGGCGGCATCCTCCACTCCTCTTGCCTCTTGGATACGCCGCCCAGGCCAGTCATCACTGAGCTTGCGAGAGGCTGACTTTCCGAGGGGCTTGCGTGTGTTGCCCCTTTGGGAGAGGGGAGTGGATGGATTGTAGCTCATACTCAAATGAGGAAACAGATTCTTTCCTTATCACAGGCACTGCAGGAGCATAGTTCAACTGCACCGCAGCCCTATGCCATTTCTTCGCATTTGAGAAATGGCAGCACCTGCTTGAATCCCCTGAAACCTTTGCACCTGGGAAGGTGCGGAGCCGGCAGCGGCAGAGGCCAGAGACGAGAGAGCTTCAAGTTTGGGTGTGGCTTTGCCTCCTGTTCCATGGTGTTGCCCGTGAGGTGTGCATGTCTGAAGGTTTAGCAAGGAGTGTGGGTCCAAATTAAACCATCAGGGGACCGCAGGTTTTAGTCCATACTTTCACCTACTCCAGGGTTCCATTTGGGTACCTATGTCCTCTAGAGCAGCCTTCTGGCAGAGAGGCTCGCGTGCAGCGTCAAACTCGCCAGGAGTCAGGCCAGGAGTCAACGCCGCTTGGCTGATAGCCCATGGAGCGACCGATGGATGGAGAGCGATCGACCCCTGTCT